GTCTATTAAGTTTTTAATAAATTCGGGGTATAAATTATAAATAACATGGAATGTAAAAACGCATTGTGATGTAAACTGGAAAATATAAGCGGTTATGTGCAAAATCAAAGTGAAATCCGATTAGAACAAGCAAACAGATGTAAAACGTAAACATTTGTAAATATTTATGCAGTCAAAAGTACATGTATGCACAAGTGTAGCTATCTTATAATAATGTGGATAACGAAATGCTTATATTCATTAAATGTGAAAACAAATCGTTGTTGTGGCGATTGGTGTTAAAAATAGAGGTGTATCATGAACGTCGCAATAAATTCAGTGACTCACGTATTTGTAATATATCAGATAACTACATCAAAATTAGGCGACGTTATTTAACGACCAACATTGATAAGATACCGTTATATTATTTTCTAAATTTATGTACAAATATGCTGATAATAATGCAAGTGGAAATGAGCAAAAATGTAATATGTAAAATCTATCAATTCATTATTCGTGCTCTGTGGTATACAATGTATACATAAACGGAAGCACTCGTAGAAAGACCAACGTAGCGACTAATACGGTTGCCACACAGAAGTGGTGTATTGTTACACAATATCTCGTGTAATACGAATGATAAGATCAAAGTTTATAACGTACGGGCTAACTATGTATATATGAACTATTCTACGTCAGCTACTAACAGTTACGAGCTTATTTCATCTCTCAATTAGCATATTATCCGTACAAATTATCTTGCGATCTCGCGACTGCGATAAGCCGTTCAGCTGAGTTACATCGATCGTTACCGCCGGTTACCGCCGGGTCAACATATCCTCCACTCCCCCGACGATTTGTCGCACTTACCCTTTCTTCTTAAATTTTTTGCGACCATCACTGTCGCTCTCGCGATTCGTCGCGAGCCTGTCAGGCTCCTTCCTGGAACGCCCGGACCTCCTGATGCCGTATATGTCAGGATTCTCGTCCCACTCGCGACTAGACTCATGTTTAACTCTAAGCTTTGCTTCGGTGCTGTGATTCGAGCCTTTGCTCTGGAAGCTATCGCTTTGTGCAGCAGGTGCATCCGACTTCTCCGACTTGTCAGAGTCGGAACCTGATCCGGAGCCGGAACCGCTCGAGGAGCTAGAGTCGCTGCGTTAAGCAGCCAGGCAATATTTCATTTCACTAATTATATATAGATGATATACATGGACAGAGCATCTCGAAATACATACTCGATGAGAATAATTAACGATAACGTAGACGTGGGAATAATTTACTGGATAAAAAATCGTTAATTGAAATATAAATTATATATAGAAATGTACAATTGTGTGCTATTCAACGTTCAATATCTTGGTTGTTTTATTTAATCAATCGCTCGAGGAAGCATTTTTACATAAAAATTTCAAGTGATTTAATCCGTGATACAAGTTACATATAAATTGTGTAATAAGGCATAAAAATAAAAATATTATACAATAATTATGATATAACATACTCATGTATTATAGAATTTTAATCACACTAATTAGAAAATGCATATATATGTATTATGTAACGTTAATATAAATAATATAAAAATGGACTATGCATTGTACATGAATACTGGAAATGTATCAAGCTTTTCAAAATATTTCAAAGTTAAAAATGTGAACGTTCTCCTATAATTTTATAATTCTGTATTGAGATTCATATTTGACACGTTGATTACTCGAAAGTATATTGACTAACGCTACAGATTAATACTAGCAGTTTATCTAGGCATTGCTCTGGTTTTTTGAATAAAAGAAAGAAAACGCTTTAACATAAACGTAATGTATAAAAAGAGAGTTGTGTGCTCACAAAAAACCCACAGTAGGGCATACATAAAGTTAGGAAAATTGTTAAGACATTGTTAGTGCTATATGAAGCTGTAGCAATACACAGTAGCCCATTTGTGAGTGGCACCAATTGTAACAAACCCTTACACATCAGAGAACCTGATATACACTTGTATTCAGTTCAATTTGTCTTGCATTAATAATAATGTCGCACGCTACAACTGCATTATATAAAAGATTAAACTGATTACCTCAAAGATATATAAATAATTAATGAATCTAATCAACATGGTGGAATTTAAAAGAGGAAAAATTACATTCTCAAAAACATCAGTAAAATTGAGCACTTTGAACGGCAATCTTCTAAAAGCGAAGTTCTTATTCCCAAAATATGAAACTTGCCTAAAGCTGAGAAATTCTCCAATTCACGTTGAATGTTTCTTTCACGAGAGGAAAGTAAAATCTTACCGCAATGCAAGTTCGTGTATCAGATCTCATGATTTTCAGGGAGATGGGCCAAATCCTTGTCGATACCCACCTTTCAGATCCCGATCCTGAGCCGCTGTTGCTGCCGGAAGAGGAGCTATCGCTTTTGCTCTCGTTCTCAGAATCCGACCCGGATTCCTTACCGGATTCAGATTCTAACGTTTTCTGGAAGTCAATATCGACGACATGTAATTTCGATTTTATCTTTATGCAAGATATCGCTCGTCGCTTGGAACGTGTTGTTTGGAATAGTTCGCTTTAGTCCCCAGTGAACGCTTATCGCAGAGAAACGCCCTAACATTATTATTCTCATTTCGAGTTTTTACTTCTGTTCTAAATGGATACAATTATGGGTACAATTATGGTAACAAGGAAGAAAGATAATTCGCAGTCGAAGGAAGCGGTGGAACTTTTTTTTTACGCATCTTTTTATTTCCTTCAATCAGCCCGCATACAGAAATATTGTTATTTCATCAGCACGAACTCGTCCTCCATTTTGTGACCGTCGTCCGCCATTTTGTCTTCTTATTGTTAGAAGAGGAAAACAGTAATCTAAGAAATGTTATTAAATTATTGCCGTTGCCTCATACTTATACGATTACTTTGATCTAAATAAAAACCAACGAAGACTAAAAAAGAAAATGACACGTTTAATATATCCCTTATATTAAATTCCGTGAGAATTCTTTGGATCTAGCAGCGAGATCCCTCGTTTGACCACGTTTGAATACCTTAAAGCAAAATTAAACGCAGGAATTTCTTCTAAATTGGCACGTTTGTATAATTCTATCGCATACTGCAGTCGCTTACAATCATATTCGCATGAAAGGAATCTGTTTGGAGATGTCCAACAAAGGTTTAGGCACTGAATAATAGAGATCATCATTCAAAAACAGGTTATAGTTTTATTAAATACTTCAACAATTACATATCTCAGCTGTCAGTGCTCGATTAAGATATGTAAATGCATACAGAAATATATGTGTACCTAATAATATGGTTAATCATATTATTTAATTTGTAGTAGATCAGATATACTATATGTTATACATTAATTAATTAATTTAGAGATATTATATATTTTATTAATCTTGAAACGGATTGAAAGAAGTTGAGATATTTATTAGTAATGTTCTAATTATGCTTATCTCTCTTGATATTTGATATAGTTTCGTACATTTGCAAATCCATATCAGTGAATGTAATAATGATCATAATCAAGACTCCTGCCACAAATATATTGATAGAAAAATATTGGAGTTATGAGAGCGAAGTAAAACTTTCTCTTGCACAATCAATGCAGATTTTTGTTTGCATACCTATATTAACTGAGCGTAGGTCCCTTGCTCTTTCTGTAACAAACATTAGTAACACATGCTACAATTTCATCCAAGGCATTAGAGAGCATACCAGATAGTATGATTAAATATTAAAATAACCTGTATTGCAAACTGTATAACACTGCTGACACTATAAACCACTATTAAAAATGTATGAGCATAAAACGGACCTTTACATACACTATATATATTTTTTCTAACAATGTTTTGTACATTATAATAAAAGAATGTATGACTTGATAGAAGAATTTGAGCTCAAATATTGTTAAAGAAATAAATTAGTTTTTATTTATTCATAAATTCATGGAGCAATGTCCAGTCTTATTTGTGCACTATGATAATTCAAAGATACCATGTTAATTAAAAGAAATGATGTGTGACCAGTGATGGATACATGAGTACAGAAGAAATCATTAAACTTGTCTATAGTTATATACAGATATTTATATACCATTGTTGTAAAATCCATAATTATTTAAGTATTCTACACACATGTAACGGTGAAATGTCCAAGAACTATATCGCTTTAAATTTTTGCACGAATTTGCCAGATGCATCTTAACTAACCCCATTGCTATTTCAAAAGTTACCATTACAAATGTTCACCAACAAATGGGATGATTACCAAGCATGCAGTTGCTTTTAATGTTATTCTCATGATGTATCGAGATAAATTTATTGTCAAATTGAATAAAATCTATCACAATGCGATGCAGTTTTACTTAAGTATGTTTTGTGATCACTATTCTCACCCTCATAAAATTGATGCAAAAGAAATCTGTGTTGAACAAGATTCCAAATGGTATAAATGGCATTCTACAGTATAGACAAATGTCATAAAGCTCCTTGATAGATCCAATTATGTCCATCACATGCCAAAATTATGAATTTCCTACAAAAATTTTTGCAAAGAACTTTCAAAGGTTGAAAATGCAGAATATTTCTGGCGTTATCCCGATGGAAACGCATCAAAATCACGGGTATTTGCCGTGAGAATTGCGTCACACGTTCCTGATGACCAGGCAGGACCGTGCGCGACAATATTTAAGCTTAATTTGCGAAAATGGGTACATTTTCGAATTACGAATAAGTATGACGCCAGGCCGAGGAAAAGTGCGAGGGATCGTTTGCGACGAAAATCAGGGTGGTACAACGATGTTTTCTGTGAAAAATATCAGATTGACGCGACGTAAACAAACCTTATAGGTTATTAAGGGGCTGGGAGAGTGTGTAAAGTAGCGAAAAATCGTGGCGAGGGTGGCACGAGTTCCTGAGCCCGGACGGTCCGTGGGACCCCGCCCTACGCGTAGGAAACCCTCGCGGACCAGCATCGGGGTTTTTTTCGCGTTTTCGCCAGGTTCTCGTCGAACCATCGGTACGCGGAAACGCGCGTGGCTGCACGCGATTTTGCCCTATTCCAAACAACACCGTGGCCGCGACGAGCGACTCGCTTGAGCGCATAAAATCACGCCGAACGCATCCGCGGATCGTTGACGAGGGTGATCGCCGCACGGATCCGCGTGCACGGGGCCGAAATCCCGCTCGGATCCCGGGGGTGTCTGGTAACTGGCACTCACCTGCATGGCTCCCGTCTACGCGTCGCACCGACGACCCACCGATCGTTTATCACCGACGCGCACCACGCGAGCTCGCCCCTGTCCCCAATCGTAACACTGTCACGCGTACACGTGCCCGCAGATCAGACCGCGTTTCGCGCCGCGGGCCTCGACATCGTGAGAAACTATTAAGAGTATCGTGCGCTATATGGTCACGGGTACGTGAGGTAGACCGCCATTTTGTGATCCGGACTTGCTTCTTCTCGCCCTCCCCACTCCGCGCCCCGCGGCTCTCTCCCGTCATGCAACGCGCGCGCCATCTCGCTGCCCTCTGCCCTCGCCCCTCTACGCCAATCCGAAGCGCGGAGCCTCAGAGACGCGACGTCGGATTGGCCGAGAGCCGATGGAAGAAGGAAAACGAGAAGACGCGCGCATCGCGCGATTAAAGCGGTGTACGGGGTATATGTGCGTGTGCGTGCTCGCGAGCGCGCGCGCACACACCGGAAAAGCGTCTGTGAAATGAAACGTAAAATTACTCACGCAAATATCTCACGTAAGAAATTTAAGTGAGATACTCGCGATATTAAATGTCGTGATAAAAGGCGAATCGAGATTCGGCGAAATTTGTCGCGCGATTTTTCTCGCGCGAATTTGAACGAATTCGGCCGTCTCGCGGAGGCTCGAACGAAACGGACGTCGGACGCGAGTCCGCAAAACGGAAATCGAACGTCGCTCGTCGCACGGCCATTTTGAGCAGCCAACGATTTTACCCATAATGCGCGACGTCATGACGCTTCCCTTCGATCAACTCGCCGTCGAGTTTTACTTGACGGTTGACGCGATCGTCAGCAGCTGCTGAAAAAATATCACGGGCGGAAATCCCCGAAGATGCCACGTTCTCGCGGAAACCCTCTCGCGAGGGTCCTCGTACTTTCGAGGGCGTACTTTTCGAAACGGTCGCTTTAAGCAAGGGGAAAATTATGTAACACGTAGAGGCGTAGACGTTTCGCGAGACATCATGGCGATTAACGACGATCCAATTTCGTCACATGCGCGAAAGGAAATTTTACAAATTGTCCAAGGAACTTTAACTTGCTCCGCAATTAAAAAAAAATCTTTTACCGAGAAAATAAGGAAAATCCGATATCTGTGGAAGAGGGGAAAATCGCGTTAACGACCTCGCAACTTTCGCAAGCCGAATCGCGGAGAACTGCGGAGAACCATCCAACGAACTTTCCGAGATTGACGTAGAGACGATACGGAAAGGCCTGTTCTCTCGCGCGGTGTACTGCATCGCAATGTCTTAATGCATATACGTACCATACAATACGATTTGTTCGAGGGCTCAGGAACTCGCGGCTTAATTCTAGCACAATTTCTCGTTAAAAGCAGGTAGAGGAGTCCACACTAACCGTCAGGCCGTCGGGCCAAATGGAACGGAATGGATCGGGCCTAGAGCGTCAAGTTGCCCGACGTCGTCAATGTCGCCATGCAAAGTACGCAAGTGAGAATGATGAGAAAGCGGCAGCGGACTAGCGGAGCGCAGCCAGGCTGGCTTTCCGTCGGGCGTATCGGGCTCGGGCAGGACAACCGTGTTCGGGAACAGACGGACGTTTGCGGCGGTGCCGCCGCCGTCTCGGAGGGATTTCCTCGCGACCGCGTGTCGCGACGTTGCGAAAACGACGCCGACTGAGCGGCGCGCCACGCCCGTCCCGATGGAAAGCCAGCGCAGCCGTCTCGCAGCCGATGCGACAGGTCGTATCATGATGAGAATGAAAGACGAAAAATATTACCTACACGTCCGTGGCAACGCCGCGCCGGAAAAGGACGAGGCGCCCGAGCTTCCGGTATATGTACGCTGTCGTCGCTGTCGCAGCGTCGCAGCTCGATCGAGAGCTCGACGAGCGCCACCCGTCGAATTCGAGTTTGACGGCGGGTTTCTTCGAACGTGCTTTGCGGCGGAAAATGATGAATCGCTCTGTCTCGTGTCGTTCGGCGAGCGTGCCGGCTTAAAAAAATATATATAATTAGTTATGATTAGTTAGCGAAGTATTAGTAATATATAACATATTATGATTACATGGTAATATTATTTACATTAATAACTTTAGCGATATACCAAGTCCTGCAGAGAAAAAATTCTTTGATAAATCTAGGTAGCTTAATTTATTCTTTTCCTTTTCATATAATATAAAAAAGAAAGAAAAGTAGATATAGCAAAAAATAAGAAAATACAAAAATATAAATGTTAATTTCCTTCTGTGTAAAATTATTTTCTATTTTATTTATTTTTAAGTAGGTACACCAAAAAACGAATGAAATGATTCAACTGACTTGATTACGTGTACAAAATTAGAGGCAAATTGAGGTCGAAAATTAAGATAATTTTTCAAAACTTAATTATATGTATATCTCGCAATTTTAACGGTATAAACAATTTGGATATATACGTGGTTTTATTTACATAACGATATTGTTCCCGATTAATGTACAATACTAGCGTTATGGGAGGGACGTAAAATATTGAAATAATTATGGATTGTAATTAACATTATATATGTACATTACATAGAAAGATAATTTCAATAGTAACACAATCATACATAAAAGTCACAAGAAAATCATATAGCACTTCGACACTACTTGTACTTGTGCTCCTTGATAATAGTTACATATTTCACGCATATGCCAAGTTTTCTATTTATGAAACGACAACTCAGTCTTATGATCTAATTCAGCTCGAGTTAATAGCGTGCCAACGCGACGATGAATATCGTGATGACGAAAGGAAAAGCTGATAAAAATAATAATAGCACATTGCCAGAGTTCGCAGAGATGACAATTTTATTGTTAATGTACCCGTTTCAAATTACGTAAATTACGTAAAAGAATAAATGATGTAAATGAGATACTGATTTTCATTGAGTATCCATAGTAAGATGCGACTTAAATGCGTTATTCCGGATCTGGCGTATTTCCCGCGGCGCTCTGCTGTTCCTCTTCCTCCTTCTTTTCTTTCTCCTTCTCCTTGTTTTTCGCGTCGGGAACCCACAAACCGCTGTCGACGCACCGTTTCATGTGATATGTCGCCTCTTCCTCTGGCATTGCGGCTATTGTTTGTTGCAACAAAGGAATATCTTGCGTCTCGAAACATTTTTGTAAAGCCTGAAAAAAAATATATAAAGAATCAAGAAGGAAATTTCCTAGCAATGATTTTTACGTTCCGAGACAAATTTTTATTTACCTCTGGAAGAGTTTCAAACACCTCGATCGGATCGAGTCCACCTGGTCCCAAACGAGCTTTTCTTTCCTCCTCCTCGGCCTCTCTAACCGCCTCAGCTACCTTCTCTGCTGCTCTTTTGCGTATTCTGTCCTTAAACGCTTTAAGTTCGTCATCAAAGGATTTCTTGTACTCTACCTCGGCAATTTGAATGCGACTGAAAAAGGAGCCAACGCACGCTCGCGGGTCAACGTCCAATTGCTTAGATAGTTCCAGTATATATTGCATACATATGCATTGATGCGCAACGTGTTCCATTAAATTATGTTTCTGAAAATACCCCATGAATATAGAATCGTCATAAATATCATTGATTAAGTCTCAATAGTTTAACTGTAGAACGGTTGCCTGTCAAACTTACCTCTTCCATTTCCAAGTTGATGCACCAGATGACCAAATAGTTTGCCGTATTCTCGCAAACTAAATACAGATGGTCCTGTAAGAATTTCTTGCTGTCATCGTATTTTCTTAGCATGCCAAACTCCTTCAATTTTGTCTCGTGTTCCTTAACGAATTGCTTCATTCGTTTCTCCTTTTCCTCGTCGGACAAACTCGAATCATCGTTCCTCCTCGCAGGCTTCGTATTTATCACAGTTTTTGTAAAACCATCTTGCCCAATAGTATCTATGTTCCACGGTGTCAATTTTTCCTTCTTTTCCATTTCCTTTTCCTTCTCTTGAATTTTTTTCTCCTCCTCTTCGAGATCTTGAAGAACTTTTTTCAACGCAGTTAAATCAGCCGAATCGGTCTTTTCATTTTCTAATTTGGCTAATTTTTCCTTTGTATCCTTGAGTTTTTGCAGTGTTCTGAAATAACAAACGTTATATAGCAAAAATTAATTTAATTCTATACATACAAGAAAGATATTATTTAACATATATTTGTTCTTACTCTGCCTTCTTCCTCATGTGTTCTTCGTGCTCTTTCTTGCGTTCTTCCATTCTCTCCACTCGCGCTTGATGACGCCATCTGAATAAGGATGGCGTATCAATGTTTGGATGAGTATCATCTTCATCATCTGAAATCTAACGATAAGAATAGCAAAAGTTATAAATACAAAAAACATTTTCACGTAAAATCTAAATATACAAACGACATCATTATTGTTCGATGTAAATTGATTGATCCAAAATATAAATAAGTCTTTCGATCTCATCAAATAAGAAGCAAAGAAAATTAACAAAGTTATAAAGTGGAAGGCTTTAAGTTAATCGCGTACTAAAATTGTAGGAAATGCTCGATCCCATAAGTATTCGCGATACATAAATTGCGCTCTAAAAACGGGATAACCGAGTTGAGTCGAAACGCCGAGCAATTGACGTTTCGGTAACGTGTCATAACAACGTTTCTGGCGTACGCCAGACAGTCACGCGCGGCCGGCGAGATCTGATCTCGAGCTTCTTCGAGAACGTTCCTCTGGATCGCTGGACCCGGACGAAGAACGGCCGATATTGTTCTTACTTCGATACTCTTCCATTTGCTGTAGTCCACCATCGTAGCGCTCGGATGAACCTGCCGTCAACGAGTCGCTTCTACGCGAGCAGCCCGTCAGCTTGGACGATCTCGACCTTTTTTTCCTTCCTCTCTTTCCACGACGAGGGTATCTGTGTTTCTGTGTATCGCGCACAGAAGTCAGTCAGTCAGAAACTGTGGATTGCCGCTCTCGCTTTCGTCTATCCGTCTCTCCGAATATCCTTGCCACCTTGCCACCTTGCCCAATGCCCAATCTTGCTTGCCAGAGTCTGATTGCCGACAATGCCGACTGATCCGAACTCCTGGACTCCTGGCGCCTGGCCGACAATCGCAGGGAACGACGAGAGATGGCAGATCACGTATCGATCGATAATGACGATAATTCGTGATACCACGTGATACGTCGCGTATATGATAACGGTCTTGTTTTCTTTCGTCTGGAGAACGAAACGAGACTTTTTAATGAATATTTGCAAATATAATAAACGATTGATTAAATAATTACGCAATTAACATTTCTTCCTTATGTAAGATTACTTCCAATGGCTTGGATTTATATTCCTACCGTGTTAAAAATGATTGATGATTCAAGTTGATAGGTTATATACCTAACGAGGCTCTATGAATGACAGTACGGTTTTTTAAATATTACGCGTGTAATTTACATTGAGACAAAATGATTGGGATGAGAATGAATGCGTTTAACGATACTGGACTTGGAGAACCGGAGCAAGATGCAAACACGGCTCTCATAGAACTTGATAAAGGTTTGTTTGCACTGTTAACTTCTCTACAACCTGCACCACATGAATATTGACTTATTTAACATAAATGTCTCAAACGCAAATATCTAAGAAAAATATCAAATAATCATATTATAAATATAGACATGTGGCGTTTGCACTTGTTTGCTTGCTGCATAAAAATTTATTATAGTTTCAAATGCGTGTGATTGTAGGTTTACGTTCTACCAAGACTGGGGAACAATGCGAAGCCATAGTACGTTTCCCTCGACTATTTGAGAAATATCCCTTCCCAATATTAATAAACTCGTCTCTGTTGAAATTGGCCGAAGTGTTTCGCACCGGGAGTAATTTTTTACGAGTATGGGTTCTAAGAGTGTGTCAGCAGAGCGAGAAGCATCTGGATAAGATCTTGAATGTAGACGAGTTTGTAAGACGCATTTACAGCGTTATACATTCGAACGATCCAGTTGCTAGAGCCCTTACCTTGCGTACATTGGGCAGCGTAGCCGGCATTATTCCCGAAAGGCAACAAGTAAATACACTTAACCGTTTAGTACAAAATAAGACAATTTCTAACTTTACAAGGACAATAAAGTATCTATTATTATGCAGGTTCATCATAGCATAAGAAGATCCTTGGATTCTCACGATTCAGTTGAAGTGGAAGCTGCAATATACGCCGCTCAAATGTTTGCGGCGCAGTCCAAATTATTCGCTGTATCTATGTGTAGTAAGATTTCCGACATGATCAGAGGTCAAGCCACCCCCGCTTCAATGAAGTTGCAGCTGATACCGATTCTACAATATATGCATCACGATACTTTTACAGCATCAATGGTATGTAGCATTTTGTAGTTAATATTATATATATATTTTTTATACCGATTCCGAAAGAAATACATATATATAATTATTTAATTGAAGGTAAATGAATTGTGCATGGAGCTTCTGGCAAGTTATCCGGCAGCGGATTTTGTCAGAGTCACTCTGAGTGCATTAAGTACCCTGGCTTCTGCGACGTTAATAGACGTGCCACAACAGGTTGCATTATTATTGCGCTATTTGCAAGATGACCCAAGACTGTCTGTTAAACGTCACGCCTTGCATCTTTTGCACAGTTTAGCTAGAAGAGGGGCACATCTTTGGCCACAGGGCGCCCTTAATAATTTAATTGGTATATAGCTTGTGATATAATTTATCAAACCTTTGATATTTATACAAGTGATATAATCGATATCTAATAATTTAGAGAGTACCACGACGCTTTTACAAGATGGTGCAGGAAATACAGATCTTCTCATCCGTACTTTGGACGTAATTGAGGTCAGTTGAACCGATATAAATTTGTTTTTAGTTACAAAAGTTTTTTTTGTAATGTATATTTATACACGTAAACACGAATACTTATTGAAATACAGGTACTTAGCCAAAATGCTGCAACATGCGATGCAAATATGGAGGAAAATAGTCCCTTATTGCAATTGTGTTTGAATGCGTGTTATTCGCCCGATCCGTTCGTCGCAGTAAAAGCAATTACTATACTTTCTAGAGTTGCCTGTTATTGGTATGTATATGTAGCCTTTTTTTATTAGTTATATATGAGACAAATAATTAATATGGATTATTTTGTTAACAGTTATCAAGAAGGGTTGCCGGCTTATGGTATACAAGATGTGATTTCTTGTCTCGAATCTCTGATCGTGTTGCTAGTTTTGGACGACAAACATTTACATCAGTTGAGGGCATGTTTACGTTCGACAGTAAAGCTGTGTCAGTCGCAGCCTAGTCATTGCCCTATATTTGTCGATGCTATTGGTTCTACCCTCGTCAACGCTAGTGCAGAAAACGGTCAGAACGAGAAACAAACGGTTGCACTGTGCGAAGCTTTGGGTGCTATTGGTAGTTTAGGAGAGAATACATTGCTTCCGCTTTTACCAGAAATTTTGATCAAACTTAAACAGATGTCTCATGTACATACAAAGGTAAACTTACAATATAAGAAGAGTTGTTTTCTTTATCTAGAAGAATTTAACTTATCAATAAATAGATATTTTCATGAGATCTATTCTGATTTGAAAAGGTAATGCTTTGTACATTGCTATTCCAAATGGTGGCTGGGGGATATGAATGGAACTCGGAATGTTTAGAGGCGGTAGAGAACGTCGTGAGAAATGTAGATGGTTGGGCAAAATATCGCATTGCGCGAAGCGCCGCAAGATATGGCCATCATACAATTGCCACTGAAATATTTAAAGGTCTAAAAGAAACTGTAGCATCGGAGCAGCTACATTTTTGGCTGTCTGGTTTAGAATTAGTTACAAAAGCAGAATGCTGTCTCATGTACGTATTTTCTACTTTACTTGCATTCAAAATCGTAATACCTCTTTTGTGTATTTTCTGTTTTTCTCTGTCTAACGTAATAATGTATGCATAAAGGAATAAGAGGGAAGGTGAAGAAAATATGAGTAATCCCGAGATTGTGGAAAAACTGAATGGCGCGATAGCGCGTTACGCAAGTGCTTGCGCTTCTCTCAAAGCCGCTAGCACTCCATTACGTAGTTTGCAATTTCCAAGCGAATATTCGAAATTACGTTGTGAATTCTTACAATCTATAGCGCAATTATTACATTCGTGCATGTAAGTAAAAATGTAGCACATATAATTAAGAAAAAATATCGCAGAAATTAAAATCTATATTTTTAGATCTTTGTGTACCGCACCACCACCAGCTATAGCTGTCACAGTTGTCATTGCGACGAAAGATGATCTCCAGAGATACGGACGCGTTACGCATCAGGTATAATTCGTATAATTATAATTGCAAAGTGATTACAATTATAATATCTACAGCTATATACACATATGCGTACTATTACAGTGTATATTGTAAACTGTGCTTTACAGTTAAGGAAATCAGCGCAAGATTTGAAAAACTGTGCAGAAAATTACCAGAAGCTATATCAATCAGCCTTTGATGCTGATCCGGGATCGTTGGCGAATATTCGGGCGTATCCTTTTACTAGAGCAATTTTTATCTGACTATCGTTCATTTAAGTGCACTCTGTGTTGGCTATTTACCTTGATTCATCTCGTGCAGATTACAAGAAATATGCCGGTTACTTGCAAACAGCGTGGAACGGGTTTGCGGTGGGCTCGGTATCGCAATGTATCAGCAGCAGAACGATTCCATTTCAGTGAATTTCCATTTTGGCGATTCCGTAGAGATGCGGCAGCTGGCTCGTTGCTGCGCCGAGCTGCGTCGTTTAGCACCACCCTGGGTGGACAATGACTGCAAGACCGGATCAATAAGCCATTTGAGAGTCAGTTGTTTGATATCGCAAGTGACGCTGCTCGCCGGTGGAACAATGAGATTGCCGATCCCACGATATTTCTTCCAAACTCTACAGACTACTAGCATTAAGTTATCGGTGTCACCTCAACCACGTGTTCTCGGTGAACCCGTTTCTGTGCCGCAAGGTAGTCAACTAGCGCTCAAAGTCGAGGGAGTATTGCGACACGGTCGTCGGGCATCTCTCTTCCGTTCCGTCGCTGCTGTGTGCATTTCCATCTCGACGACGCCGCCGTCGAAAATAAATTCTGACCAAAAGGTAGATAAAGCGTCTAAAATTACGATCGCATTAACTATTAAAAAAAGTTGAACAAGTCTGCATTACTGCATATTTAATTTAATAAACTAACTACTGCATATTTTTTAATAAACATGTAATAACGTGTCAAATATTTCTGTCAATGTTTGAAAAATGAATTAGGGATGAGAGAGCTAAAGAATACATTCATGAAATTATATCAAATAGTAATATTAAATGTTATGTTTGCTTGCAGGATTCCAATATGAATGAATTGCAGCAAACGGTGACACCTCATCGAGATTTCTTCGCTTGCGAGTTTTTACTATCCTTGGGAGTACCTGGATCTACGATCATACCTCCATGCACGATTGGTGCAAACACCGTTCCAGGTAGTGGTGGCCAATACCAAATCACGGCGAGCGCGAGTATACTCGACAAGGACGGCAATGTATGGAAGTGTGGTCCACGTTCCACTCTCCCTGTTCGAGTACATGAGGAGCCTGCGAAGAGGAAGTTACCTTGAGGATACGCACTCGGTAGCACGATATAGATAATATATATTTTATATTTTTATTGAAATAAATTTTAATAAAATTAAATTTCAATAAGTTCACATGTGACATGTCTCAACTTCGCTTTTAATTTTAATGGCCACATAATGCGTTTGTATTAATAATAATAATAAGTACGCTGATGTAACATGTTGCAAACGTATTTTCTTGATTTATTTAATTCTTTGTTCAGAGAAGATCCTATTTTAAAACAAAAGTTTATATCAGCGCGAAAGTTTTTCATTACAGCTATATAAATGAAGAATATTTTTTGCTTAAATAAAGCGAAGTTGTTAAATTTTTTACTAATTAAACCCACAAATAAAGCCTATTTTAAACGATCTATAATTTGTGTAGAATTCAGAATAAAAAAAATCTATTTCTTATTTCATCTACCGTGTAATATGAAACACTTGAAAAATTAAAATAAATATATGGTTAAAATATATATATAGCATATAAAATTACAAATAGAATTCTATCTTAAAATTTAACATAAATTATGGATTGTCTAAAGTGGGCTTAAAATAATTGTACAGTTCAACGATTTATTTGCAATACAAATAAATTCTTTATAATAAATCTTTATTTCATTATATTACAATTTTTGTTGCGCATTTTTAAAACGATATCTAAATATTGTGTCTCGTTTGTAATTGCTCATGATAAATAATTCTTTCGAAGAAGTACAGTCGCACACTGTTTTATATCAAAGTATCGAATTATATGTACTATTTTATATTACTGTTCTTTGAAATATATAAAATGGCGTTTAAAAAAATCGCTATTTTATATATCTCATTAATTAATCCGAAGTTCATTGGATTACAAATCTAAAAAAACGCGCGCAGGGCCCGCCGTGGCATCGGAGTGACGTTAGCCGTCAAATAGCGAGTAGCGAGTGTCGACGTTTGAGTGGCCGCGCGGGCGACGACCCATAAAAGGGAGATCGCGAGAGTGGCAGGCGCACAGTCGCGCACCGTCTATCCGCCGGTACGGTACGGAGCGGAACGCGCGAGCGGCAGCGTCATATCCCATTCCATTCCATTCCATTCGACGTCCGCCGGCACTACCCCCGCGGGAAGCAACAGTTATGTCCTCGAGGATCGTTTCACCGCTGCTCGCCAACCCGCTGCGCTGTTGAACCTCGTCGCGCGTGTGTGCCCGCGGTAAGTCACACGCCAACAACTTTTCCAACGATTAAGAGCCCGTCGCCGTTTCCTACTTCGCGCCGCTCGCTCGCCCGCGCCAAATTTCGCCCGAGATTATGTATTCCTCAACGCTTCGTCGGGGGAAAACGCGCGGTCGCTTTTTAATTTCTGATGTCCGAAGTTTCGGTAACGTCATTTTAAGTCCATCTACATATTTATAATTTGCACAAGTTTCCCCTCGACGAAGGGTGGACGCGGCGGCGAAAGCGGGCGCCATCTTCTAAACCGCGCGGAGAGCATAATAAAAGGAACGGTGTTCCGACGAGGAAGTGCATATACTGCGTAATATTTCAGAAAGCTGGATCAAATACGTTGAATATTTTGATCGTTACTTTAATCGAGCGAAAATCGTTCGGTCGGATTGATTGCACATCGCTACTTTCGGAACATGTTGAGACGCCCGAAGTTTGGCGGCATACGACGATTCAAATCTCAAGTGATTAAATTAACCAGTTTAACTGCACGACCGATTATTGAGAAATTAATTTTAGTTCGAAAGAGATTTACAGCGTTTTAGTCGATTGCAGTCGTGCGAATATCGTACGGAAAATACTCGCGAACTTGAACAATTGAAATATTCGGAAACAATTCGAAAGTTTTGCGAGGAAGCGCGACAAAGATTTTCGACATTTGCCGTGACGCTTTTCAGGACGAAAACGGTTAGTAAAAATTAATTTTTACTACAATAATATAATAAAATTCAATTTTTATACTTATTTTATGATGATTATAATACCTATACTTTACTAATCTATTGCGTTTTAAAAATTATAATATATTCCTTAACCCGTAATAAAAATTGCATATGTTAGATTAACTTGGTACAGAAAATTCGTCGAACGAGATTGAAAACAAAATATCGCACGCGATTTCGAAATAGCTTTTATCGATCAAAACGTCGTCATCTTTGATGCGCTTTGTCTCGCCTTTGAACGGAACTTTTCGATTCCGTTTAGAAAACTCGACGGAAATCTCCCTTGCGTAACTTTATTCAACGCAAAACTTGATCGGGAAAACGACGCGACGAATCGCTTCGCACCAATCTGACAATATCGCTCTTTTCCATTATTACTTGTTTTCGCAAGTAATATCACGTTCCGCAAGACGAAACCGCGATCGAAGGGGTCGGGGGTCGGGGAAGGGAACGAGGGTTGCAGCCGGGCAAACTGCCGAACTTCGGCACGAGATTAATTTGCCGGTACCGCGGGGAGCTTCGGAAGCCGCGGACTCCGGACACGGCTTCTCGAACGGGAGGGCCCGGGGAATTGTACGCGGGATCGAATCAAGCGTGGCTCGAGTTCGGCAACGGGGAGCCCCGAAATTGCCCCGCGACCGCGTGCGAATCGCTCAGCGGTGATAACTGATTGTGAGAAGGGCGCGAGTCGGCGTACTCGTTGTCGCCGTTGCGAATGTTGCGACCCGCGATCGAAACGAGCTATCTCTCGAGAGCCGAGAGAGAGAGAGTGGAGGATCATTCGAGGGAGGATCTCTCGGTCGTCTCTCGTCGTTTTCATCGAGAATCGAGACTTTGCGCGCTTGGTAGTACCTAATTGAATTCGCCGATCCTTGTACTGTCGAGGGCGAGTTGGACGACACGTAACTGCTACAATTTCGTTAATATTTCAACAGATATTGGTGTAACTCTGTTAGATCATCGTATTATCGAGCGATCGTTTAAAGACGATTATTGGATAATCCCATTATTTCGAATTCAGGACAAATTAAATATTATTTTTGTTGTGTAACATATGTTTCGCAAGTATAGTACGTCCAGTTATATTGAGCGAGACAGGACGGTCTGATTTATAGTTACAACATTTGCTTCGTTACTCCGGAGATTTACTTGATTTTGGTATCGGAAAATTTTTCCTCGGGCGCAAATTCTGTTATCGCTGTATTCTAAAGTAATCGTCTTTTAAGAAAAGCAAATTTTATAGATTTTGTGTTGCGTAAAACGACCGCTTAGTAGGCTACGTAGGCATTATAAACGACTTAACGGGCTTGAAAGAAAAGCGAAAGATAATGAAAAGCAAGCGCTTGGTGTAATTGATTTGTGTGCGCGGGAAACTTAACGGGGTTTCTCGTAGAGGCTTTGAAGGCTATTGAAATCATTCACGTATTATTTTACATTTTTTTTAACGTAACCAAGTATCGGAGGCGATTGAGTGGACCGCCCACATTTATTAAACTTTAACGCTCCTGTAGCACAAGAAATATAATTAAATCACTACTCTTATATAGTTATAATCACAGCTGGACGATGAAATGTGTTACGATTACATAATTATAATACATCATGACCGGTATTCATATAGTCAGATCTTATATGTAAGATTGTCTTAAGTTTATTTTAAGATGTTGTACGGCTCGTTTCATTATAGTTACGGAATATCTAAAGATGAACTTAAGACGATCTCATGTATATAGATCTGACTATGAATATCGGCCTATATGGAAGGATAAAAATCACAGTTGTGTAAGTCAAATTTTTAAAAATATTTTCTTGTGTGCATAGATGCAATTTATATATTGTACAGATTGCATCTATGCGCACACGAAAAAATATTTTTAAAAATTTGGCTTACACCACTGCAGTGATTTTTACTTCTCCATATGTATGTTACTTTTATTTGCTTCAAAGTGAGGTAATATAACTATGATCGTTTCTGCACAAAGTTTTTGTAAATATTTCCCCAAAATATAAAGTAAGTTTAAAAATCATCTGAGGATAGTATGTATAACTATCTCATGTGCCTCATGTTAGGGTACAAGCAAATCTCGCGAGTTGCAAGAAAGTCTAATTTCTTGGTGGAATTATTCCCGGTGTCCCCGGTGAAGCTGTCGTATCCATCGGAGAGGAAACGAGGGGAGGGGGGACACCTCGCGCATTGCCAGGCTTAATGCACAATGACTATGCCGTGTCGGTAGCGAGAATGTTGCGGTTAAATCTATATGTAAGCGAGAGAGAAAGGAAGCGTACGATGTGTATGCAGAGGCTGCGTGATTCAAACTACTGCTTTCACAGATAGAGATAGAAAGAGAGAGGGAGAGAGAGAGAGAGAGAGAGAGAGAGAGACAGATCGTGGAGTAGTTGTGCTAAATGGTTCGCAAACTAATGTTCAAAATTCAGGCATTGCCGCGAGACCGAGGGAAGATGGGGCAGAAAGGAAACGCATGCAGCGAGCACACGTCTTTCTAAACGGAAAGAGGGAAGCGGATGAAGGCGAGAATTGTACCAACCGTGCAACCGACAAAACGTATATGTGTAGCGTTACCTCACCTTAAAATACTTGCCGTACTTCGTTCAGCGCGATCATGAATTATTAAACAGCGCTTTTCGTTCGTCGCATCTTTAATTATTCGTCGGAGATCAGAGAAACGCATAAATGGAGCGTTGTCTGAACGAATTAAATAAATCGTCAATCACAAAGTTGTTTAGAGCTTCAAAAGGGAATGTCTCTGAATTATCAAGAGATTGATCCATGTCACGCTGATTAAGATCACATGTGAATCGGAGATTTGCGCGAGTTTGTTTCCCAAGTGAATCCTCTCGCGGATACTCCGCGACGCGAATAGGTGCGCCGGGAGATGGAAATAAGATTCTGTTCATTTTTCCATGCATAGAAAGTGTCGTTCTCTTTGTATGCACGCAAAACAGATATCTTATTTTCCGGCATGTGCGATCAGAACACAATTTTCCGGATTGCTCGCACGCATACAGGATTTTCTCCTCGTGCTCGCACGAGATCTGATATGCGATCGATTAGCGTATGTACATACCAGGCGGCTTGCATTGCTTCCTCGATATAAAAAAGTAAAACGAGGATATATATACGAGGAACTGATATGCAATCGGAAGATTAACGATAACATTCATATCATTTAGTAAATTTCGCGAAACTTTGCGACTAAATATACTGCGCGATTTTCTTACATAAATGAGATATTGCTCTGTCATTTATTACATTTATTTTTCTCATAACTGCGGTGTGACTCTTTAAATTGCCTCACCTGCTACACGGTACACGTTTCCACGCTGTAGTTGATCTGAATGAAAATGCGCTACAATGCAGCAGCGTGCTGTACGTCTTTGGTCACTTTATTGTTGGAAGAAGCATGTCCAAACCGCTGCAGCATTTTGCTGAGAACTCGGCTCGTATATATCGGTATCGGCAAGTTCCGCTCGACAAAACAAATTGCTTATACCGTCAATGGAACTTTGTCGGAAGTATGTGTTTGGCTACGTATCGATACTTCATACAAACCGTTTGTTTAACTTTCGAAGTAGGGGGAGAAAAGTGTTCCTTTCCGAGACGATGGGCGGAAAACTGAAAAATTCCTTAAGGGGAATGGAAGGCGCGTGTCAAGATACAGGGATACAGAGTTAGGGATAGGAGACGCGTCTCGCGAAAGTCCCGAATAAACAGCGCTCGGTGTCGGGATAAAATAAGTTCGTCCGTTTATCTAACGCGTATGCAGCCGCTATACGTGTTTTTGTGCAAAGTAACGAAATGTTATATACACGTCTTTCCGCGCGTTAAAGATGCATGGTTCTGCATTTTTTGATCCATCAGATTTATTGATGCGGTATACCTTCAAACCTAGTTGAAACCAAGTTGCAGAAAACACTAATAATGAGTGAGAATTGCGTGATATTTTTTTCCGGTATACATATATAATTACGTGATTAATAAGGTGAATTATGCTTGCACACAACAAGAGTTACTGTAAAATAAAAATATTTTACGGTATTTTTTGACAATGGATAATATCGTGAATATATGTCTAGAAAAATAAAAATGTAGAATTGTGCTTCTCGTATAATCATATTTTTCGCTCGAGATTGCAATCTATTGTTATATTACATGCATATAATATTTATACATCATATTAGTTATAATATTGCTTATATACATAAAATATGTATAATATAACAAAATAAACCGTAATTTCAGGCA